CAAATATCAATTCTACGATATTCGCAGTCTCATTCAGTAACTAAATCTTGAATTGAAAAGAAGCTTTTATAATTGTTTCTTATTACAGGATTTATAAGTATACTATTTTCTATTTTATTGCATTTAACATTATTTAATAAAATTGATCTAAATTTAAATTATAAAACATAAATTATATAATAAATGCCAACAAAGTTACGATATTTAAATTGAATGTCAAAACAAGAAATTGCGGTGTTGTAGAAATATTTACGTAACGGTAAGTAGGGGAAGCTCATATTTTTAAGCATTATATTATGCCAAAAATTAAAATTAAAATTAATATTATACCATTATTTCTGATATTATTCAGTCCTCCAAAAATAATTTTCAAGTGAATGTAACTTTGTCAATAAATAATCACAATTTAAAAATATTTCAAAACTTGAAGTCTTTATTTTAAATCAGTATTTTAGGTAATGATCTGATACTGATCTTTTATGAAGCTATAAATACAAATGAAGTTCTTTATATCTCAAATTTTTTTACGAATTTTACAAAATTTTATGAATTAAAAATCACATCAAAACAGTTTACAACGTTAAGAAAAAGTGAATTTATATTATTGCGTACTTGTTGTGAATTTGTGAGCGCTGTATGATTTTTTTCACTAAGTTTTTTGGTTTTGACTGTACAGAAAATAAACGGAATAGCGCTCATTATATTATAAAAATAGAAAGATCAAATTTCTTTTTACAGTGCATCTGTCATGTTTACACTGTTACATAACACATTTAATATTTTACAAATATATAAATTAAAGATAAAAACTTCTTTAAAAGTGAATTTTAAAATTCACTTTTGTATATGATTTTTAATTTATGTCATGAAACTTTTGTTTTGAAAATGAATTCTGAGATTAGATCGATCTCCATTTATATCCGTTTCAAAAAAATCAGTCAGATTGTCAGTCTAAAATATCGATCTGAAAAGAAACTTTAAGCTTTAAAATATTTTAGGATCATCTCATTTATGATCATTTTGATGAAGCACATTATTTTGAATAATTACCTACACCAACAAAAAAATGTTGGTGTAGATTTAATACACCTCTAGTGTGGATTTAAACGTCATGATGGGTGTGTGGATTTAAAACTCATGATGTTAAATCCACATTATATTGGTGCAAATTTAACACTAACACAGTGAGAATTATGTAAATACCGCATGGTGTTAAGTTCACAACACTTTTTTAGAATTTTAGAGTGTAGAATTTTTAGAATTTTAGAGGATAGGTGATTTTTATGCAATGCGCAATAAAGTTTATTACACAAAAGATATAAATGATGCACAATTTGAACAGTTATTATAATGTATGTACATAATTGATTTTCTCAATTATAAAAATTAATATAACTATAAAATTGTAAATTATGAAAAGAAGAGCATAAGGAACCACAGCAGAAGTTATAATTTGTGATATTTAATTATTATTGCATCAAAAATTGATTATTACAATAAAACATTAAACGTTTCGGCCACTATCTGACTATTTTCAGTAAATTAATAATATTCTTAAGACGCAAAGTTACATCAAGTTGGAATAAAATTCAACCGTCGTGTGTTATAATTGTAAAAAAACGTGTTTGCTTCGTATAATAATGTTAGAACGTCAGAATGTTAGAAGTCATATCATGAAAAGTGTAGAACGAGAATTTCCAGATTCTAATTTAAAATAATTTATTCTATCATTAATATCTTTTAATCGAAGTATAAAACAATAGAATCGTTTTACAGCAAAAAATATAATGATGAATCTCAAGTATAATCATTACACACAGATAGAAATTTGTCGTGACATTATGTGTTGTTATTGGTCATATCATATATTTTACCGCTATTTATATTCATAAGTCAAACAGTTTGAAAAGTTCTAGAATTATTTATTAAGTGCGAGAGAGATCTTTCTTTAGAAGAGGAAAATAACATCAGGCAAACTTTCCATATCACTTTGTTTATTGATCCCACTTGTTTGGTCTTTTATATGTATCACTTCTTCTCAGAAATTCTTCGTTTCATTAATGATTATTTTGTATCTAAAATTCTTATCCCAAAATTGTTATTCCAATCCAATTTATGCATCTCATTCAAACGGTGACGTGAAACCACTGATATCTCAGAAGTAGGTTTCTTTATATCAGTCTTATGTTCTTTTATACGAGTTTTTAATTTCCTCTTAGTTTGACCAACATACGACGATTCGCAGTTTAAACAATCAATTTTATAAACAATTCCACAATGGAGCAATCCTTAAACAAGGGATCTTTTCCTGTTTTTATAATTGTATTCAATTTATTCATAGGTTTATAAGCTATATCAAAACCATGAATATATGCAAGTTTTTTGAATTTTTCAGAAACCTTGCTCAAGTATGGTATCGTGAAAAATTTTTTCTTATTGGAATCATATTCATTATTATTTTCTTTGCGATTTTGATCTGGATTAGTTTTATTTTCCAAAGTTTTTATTCTATTGTTAATTGTTGAAAATATGAATTGTTGAAAATATGAATTTAAGAGGATAGCCATTATTTAGAAGAGTGTGAATTAATTCAGAAATGTTTTTTTTATGAAATTTGGGATGGGACAACAGTAAAATTCTATCAAGCTGCCCAATGATTACTCCTCTTTTATGTGCTAATGGATGATTCGAAAAATAATTTAAATATCTCCCCGAATTGGTAGGTTTTTTATAACTAAAAATTTCTTATTCTAAGTCTTGTAAAACTATATTCGCTAGTATAGGAGATAAAGGAGAGCCCATTGGCATGTCAAAAATCTGTTTAAATATTTTTTTATCAAAAAATGTGGAATTAATTATAATCATAACTGCCTTAAATTCCTATAAAGGAATCGAAGTCTTATTTTCAATCCAGTTCCATCTACATTCGATGCTTTTTAATACTAAATCCGTCGGAATGTTAGTGTACATGGAGATCACGTCAAATGATATAATACTAAAATTTCTTTCGATAACCTTTCCATTAAGTTTATTTACTAAATCATGACTATTTTTTACGTAACTAAAATTATTATTATTACAATAGTCTATAATTTCTTTTAAGAAGGTCGCCAGTGGATAAAAAGTGCTGTTAATGCAACTAACTATTAATCTTAGTGGATGACCTTCCTTGCGAATTTTTGGCAGTCCATAAGATCTCGGAAGTTCATCATCAGATACATATAATTTTTTGTATACGTTTGAGTCAATATACCCCTTGTTTTTCCAATTTTTTAATAAGTTACTAATCTTCAAAGTTATTTTATTCGTAGGATCTTTCTTTATTAACTTATATGTCTGATCATTAAGAATCTCGTACATCTTCTCCCGATAATTTTCCCGATTTATAATTACCGTGGTGTTTCCTTTATCCGCTTTCGTGATTAGAATATCTGGATTCTCTGAGATGAATCGTTTAACCTCCCTTACACCTTCATGTATAATTTTATTTTCAATTCAGTATCACAATTGTTAATTGACTTAAGAATTTGGAATGTTTCATTCCTGACAGATTTACAAATTTCCTCGTCAGCTTTGAACAGATTGTGTTCGACGTGTTTTATAAATTTACGTGTAATTCTTTCTTTGTTGGTCAATTTATTGAATAAATTAAATTGTTGACCTAATTGCAATACTACTTTGGCTTTATTTGAAATATCAACATTACTAAGATTTATCGTTGGTATTTGAAATGTCAAAATTTGTGTTAAAGCTGTTAGGATCAATATTAATATTATAACTTGAATGTATTTTATTTGATATCATATTTTTATTAGATACTTTTTTTGAAATCAAAGGTGTACTAGAGGTATCGCCATTCATCTCAGAGGTATCGCTCAGAGGTATCGCCATTCATCTATAAAATTGTATTAAATTAATTACATGCACATTTTAATTTTAATTAATATAAATTAAATTAAATAAGTTAAAATTAATAATTTTTTTACATACTTATGTTTCTTTTTCGGATTATTTTAATAGAATGTTTAACATAGACTTGAATGAATTTTATTTGGATATTAGTAGATAATGTTGCACTTGTTTTATATATATATACATATATATATATATATATATAGAGCACGTTTCTGAAAGAAAATATCATCTGATAGTTCGTACTTTATGTTCGTATCACATAAAAATAAAAACGTTATTATAAAAAAAAAATATTTTTGTACAATAGTGTTTGAAAAAATTCAATAAACTTATCTTCTCTCTCTCACACACACACACACACACACACACATTCCATACAGCACAGACGTTGTTGCTGACTAAGTTATATTAAAACATGACTCTCTGTCAAAATAATAAAATATTTTATTTGTATTCTATAGCAAATCTATCAATTTGATGTACAACTTTCCGTTAAGATTGGACACAGTTGTCATAATGCGATCTTACTAATAACTAATTGTTTTTGCATCATTAATTTATGTATTGAAAAGGATTGAAACAAGGGTCAAAACGTATACTTCAATTGCTTAATAAAGTTTTGATTAAATCACAGATATTAGTCTTATACCTTATATTGGCTCATATTGGCATTATACATATCATTAGATTTAATCTCTTAAGCCTATTATTATTACTTTTGTTTGTAATTTTTAATATTATATCAATATTAACAAGAGAAATGTCATTAGCTTTTGTCTTTAGTATATACCACATTGTACCACATCTAAACGCACGAATTTTAGGTGATATGATTCATTAACTTTAAATATTATAAAATATTTTTAACACATGGAATATAGTATTTTCTGATATATATTTTCTGATATACGCATCATCATCTTTATCTAATTGGACATACCTATCTCTGAAAAACATTTTTAATCAATATATAATGAAAGTCTTGTCAATATAACTTTTCTCGGTATGATATGTAATTTCATTATTACATTATCTTAATAAATCTAATGATGTATAAATTTACTTAATGAACTATTTATTTGAAGTGTTCACAGTTAATGAGAATGGATTTCATATTTTTGGGATTATGCATTCTTTGCATTGTTCTGATTTTTTCAATTCTGTGGAACTACCATCAATATATTATTCGACAAAAGTTCAGAAATATTCCCGAAGTCAAGGGATATCCTTTCATTGGTGTTGCATTTGAGTTTATGAAGTTATCAGATTATGGTATAAAGAACTTTATACATAAGATTTTGTCATTCTTTTATATAAAATGCCATTCATATACAGGGTTGGCCATATTCGACGGAAAGATGTTTTTTTTTCAATCATGGGAAAAAAACACATTTTTTGCTGTTCAATCTCTGTCAAAAGTTAGTGTTGCCAGATCTTTCCGTCGAATATGGCCAACCTTGTATATATATATATATATATATATATATATATTTGCATACGACTCAAAATAAAAAGTTTTCTACTTAAATTTATATAATAAATAAATAAAAATAACAATTAATAATTTATTAGTATAATCATTAATGAATCTAATTGTTAGATCGCATAAAAAGGTATTCCTCGTTTATAGAGGAGTTTAAAGAAGGAATATTCATGTACCAGATTGGAACCAAACCTTTTATTAACATATTTAAGCCAGAATACTTAGAGGTAAATAAAATCCATTTATATTAACAGAAAATAACATCCGTTATATTTTTTACAATGATTAATGTATTATAGAAGAATTCATTCTTAAGTGGGATTTTAGTTCAATAGTAAATATTAAAAAAAGAAGAAAGATTATGCAAAATTTGTTTATCATCATTACTGTTACGATGTGTAGTAATTAATCTTTAGCACACACATAATGATTTTCCGAAATGATTTTCTTTTTTAAAACACAGTGACTCGTTCATGTTAATTCGTTCGAGTTACTCATAATTTTTATCATTTTTACAACCATACAAAAATTGATGAGCCTTGCATATATTTTGATATTTTTAAAAAAGTATTTATAAAATTGTTTATTAAAAAAAAAGAGAAACGTTTGACTTTTAACATCTACAGATAAAACATTATGTATCTTTTTATCATATGTTTAAAATTTTACTTAAGATTATCATAAAATGATTTTTTTAAAGATTTGTTTGAAGCTTTTAGTAATTAAAGATAAGACATTATCTATATATACGTCTATATAAATATATATATAATATATATATATATATATATATATATCTATATATACATCTATATAAATATATATATATATATATTTTAAGATGGGGGGAGGATGGGAGATAACTAGGCATGTTCGAAAGATAATTATTCTTCTGCTCCTGTATTCTGTAACTACGCAGTTATTATGTGTTCATAATAATACATGACGAATTGCAAAATTTCGCTGCAGCTTCCTATTCTGTAACTCGTAACTTAAGACAGTATAACGACATCGTTGCGCAGATATGATATAAAAAGTTGCGCAATGATTTTACTGTCTTAGGTCCATTTTCACAATATATGGTTATCTAAAAATTAAAAGCAGATTATCAGCAGATTCATCAATAAAATTTATTCATGAATTTCTTAGTTATCTTTAATCTTTAAGTAACCATATATTGTGAAATCGGGCCTTAATGAATAGAGGCCCTGTCTCTGTATTCTGTAACTCGTTATGCAGTCGTTATTCATAATGTTCATAACGACAGTTGCGCAGCTTTTTTACTAAATAAAATATCTGCGCAACTGTCGTTATGAGCACATAACGAGTTACAGAATTCCGCTGTTAAGGTCCATATTTTGTACACGTCTACCGACAGTTATCAGTATCGTTAAGTAGCGACAGTCAATGAGAACCGAGCTTTTTTCTTAGAATAGCTCTTGTCATTGACTATCGTTATCAATATCGACAACTGTCGGTAGACGTATACAGAATATGGGCTCTGAAGTTTCAAAAAAAGGAAATGTACAGGATACGAATAATAGTATAATTATGAATACTAAGAATTACTTTTTCATCATTATAATGTAACCAATTATTCATTCTTTACAAGTATATATTGTAAATATATATATTATAATAATTTGCAGTGTGAAATTTGTTTAAAGAAATTAAATTTTTTTTAAAAAGCATTTATTTTTAACAAATCGGATTTATTGTTACAGTTACAACAGAAATGGAAATTTATTATTATAGCGAAATAATTTACAGATTTAATAAAACTGCTTTTGATAAATTAATTGATTTAATAATCATAGTATTATCTTTTATGACTAATGAAATTGGTTGTAGCATAAATATATAAGTAAACATTATATCAGTAAAAAACACGTTGCATCTTATTTCTGAATATTATTAGATTACGTTTCTTTCAAATATTTACAGCTTATTTTTCCTAGCACCGTAAATATCACAAAAGGAAACTCTTATGATCTGCTGAAACCTTGGTTGGGCAATGGACTTTTAACATCTACAGGTAAAACAAAATCATTACATATCTTTTTGTCGTACGTTTAGAGTTTTACTGAAGGTGGTTATATCGCAAAATGACTTTTCTTAAGATTTGTTTGAAGCTTTTACTAATTAAAGATAATGATTCTGATATGAATTCTCTATACATATATTTTAAGGGGGAGGGAAGGGGGTAACCAGGCATGTTTGAAAGATAATTGCATTTGAAGTTAGTATACTTTTAATATACAAGTATGCTGACAAGAAGTTCCCTATGCCAAGACAAAGACCGACAGTACATTTTTAATTAGCGCAAAAGCGGTATTTAGAAATTCACTCAAAAACTAAAGGATTATAGATAAATATAATACGAATCTCCTAAACTAAAGGATTATAGATAAATATAATACGAATCTCCTAAATCGAAGAAAATGGGAAGCTAATATTAATTATAAAATCTGCTTTATTACTTTGAAAGTTGCTTTATTACTTCACTTCGCTTATCAACTCATTCTTAAACACCGGTGCACAGTGGGAAAATAAAATTATTGTTAAAAAATTGCGATCTGTAGCAATTTTTGAACAGTGATTTTTCTTTACCACTGAATGGTGCCCTCATGCGCTGGCGCTTCGGGCGATATCGGCCTGTTTCACGTTGTGAAATTAGTACTGAATCTTTCATTGTTTAACACACTTTATGTTAAACAAATGTGTCGGTATTCATAGTCAATTCTTGCATATAAGACTGTCTTAAGTACAATCTTAAGTCATAAGTCAATCCGAGGCCCAATGGGGAAAAAAATGTTTGAAAAAATGTTTTTTTTAAACATTTTTGAAAACGTTTAAAATAAAGAAGAGAAAAGTCTCCTTTTTTTCATTAAAAAAAACGTTAAAAAAAATATATGTTTAATATTAAAAAAACATTTTTTTAATATTTCATGGAAATGTTTTTTTAATGTTAAAAATATGCTTTTTTATGATTTGACAAAAATGTTTTTATAATGATAAATTAAAATAACAAGAAAAGTTTCTTTTTTTTCATTCAAAAAAACATTTATTCAAATGTTTATTAAAATAAATTTCAGCAATTTATAAATTATATCACTTGATTTATATTTGTTAAAATTTTTAATGTATTAATATAGTTTGATTTTGTTTCATTCTATATATGCAAGCTTATGCATAAGCTTTGATCTAAAAATTACTAGCAAATTCTTTATTTTTAAATACGAGGTAATCTTAAACAACATTCAAGAAATTTTAGCCGTCGGTCGGACATCTTAAATCCATTCTATAATGCAGTAATAAGACTGTCGTAAGAGGGAGTAAAATATGGCGTAAAGCATTAAGACCGGGAGTAAGCGAAATGGTTATTCCCATTACGCCTTATTACTTTACTGCTAGCCAATCAAAGCTTATTATAAGACAAGGCGTGAAAAAGGCACGTAAGAACTTCTTACTTCCTACTGCTTACTACATTGTAGAATAGGCTTTAGGCAGTACTAATGCCAGTGCGGCGATATTAACTTTGAAGTCTTATAACTCGAATCGAAAAGTGTTTAATGGAAATATACTTTATCATAGTGTTTTGAAAAGCTTTCGAGCTCTTGATAAGCTACAAGAATATATAACGAAAAATTGGAGTTCTATTTAAAAAATTCAAAAAAACCTTATTCTGACCTTGATAACGTCACCCAAGGTCAAACCATCTTATGTCTCCCTCGAAATCATAACACTTTTATCTGAACATATTTTTGATTCGATGCCTTCTTTTAGAGATAATAGCTTACAGATAACACTTTAAATGCTCCATTCTGTATATGTATTTGTACTCTGAAAAACAGTATATTTTAGTTAAACAAAAAAACAGTATATTTTAGTTCTTATGATTTATTCAAATACACCGTTACGCGTCGTTGATTGTATACTTATTCAGATTATTGTTTGTTGCTTGCGTATCTGAAAATTGTATTAGTTTGGTCTAATGAAAAGGTAATGAGCAACTATCCTCGGCCTATGTTATTAAAAAGTCTGTTATATATATTTGGAGTTGGCTATGTGATGTTATGTGTAACTTGCGAGTATAATTTGTTTTTAAATAATGAGCACAATAAGTGTTTTATTATGAGATGGATTCCGATAGGAATTATTCAATTATTCTCTTTTATATTGTATTTTCTAAGGAAAACGGAGAAATGCGTTTTTATTGAAAAATTCGTCTGAAAGTAGGAAAAACACAGAATATTTTTACTATTTCAAAAATTAAACCTATAACAAAACCACATGTTTTTTAAATTAACTTTGTAATTCTATTTTTTGTAATATTCTACGTAAGTATACTATATTTTAATGCTTTTAGGTAAACAATGGTTTCATGATAGAAAACTCATCGGACCAACGTTCCATTTTAGTATATTAGACCAATTTGCTGTGATTCTATCTGAAAAAGCAGAGATCCTGACAAAGTGTCTCGAAAAAAAAATAAAAGACAATCCAGGGAAAGCCGTTGATATTTTTCCTTTTATGATCAATGTGACTCTTGATATTATCTGCGGTAATGTAACATATTTTTAATTACAATAACATGTATAATTATAATACTTTTTGTGAAGAAATGTTTGTTGACACAGTACGTTTTATGTTGTAAATTATGCAAAGTTTCGTCCGGATGGACATATGTAGTAACATTCTGTTGCACTATCTCCAACAGGAAATTTAAAACTTGACAGGAAAAAGGCTGACTATCAGATGGCATCAAATGCGCGTGTGCGTCTTCATTGTTTTCCTGTTGTACGTTTCCTCGTGTGACAATTTTATTAATCTTTTTTAGTTTTCTCTTCATATAATAGGAAAATCAGAACGTAATTCAAGGAAGAGGAAGAGCTCTTCATCGAGAGACCGTCTTGCAGTTCTCAAGGAGATCTCACGCCCTTATAAATGTTCTCTCAGATAGGGAGGCTGGTCTCGCTTCTCCCTTTTATCCTTATCAGCGTCTCCTTTTCGATCTGAACGTGATGATCGAATGTCTCTATCGAGTCGAGAGCCGCTTGATCGCAAAGCCAATTTCCCTTCTCGAAACTTCCGCTTCAGACTTCGTCGATGAAGATTCTTTAGTAGCGTCTGCGAGTCAGGAGGGAGAGATCCAAGAGAGATCCGCATATTATAGTCGTGTACGTACTTACTAGATGTGTATTTGTAGAATACAGATGGACAGTCGTCATACCTTTCTATTTTTAATCAGAGGATTTTCTCCTCCTTTTTGCTCGTTAGTTAATGAACGAGTTAATCCCTTCCCCTCCAGTTTCTGCTGCTACTCTGTCTAGTTTACCCATTTCCGTAGGATTAAACAAGAATAATGCGAATGCTTTGACGACGAAACTGTTTGGTCCCAACCTTGTTGGTGTCGACATTCAGCCCTGGAATCTGATCGAGAGGTTCTGATGAAGAAATATTCTCCTTCCAAAACTCTCTCTCTCTTTTTTGAGGGCTCTTAAATTGAATTCGGAGTGCAGATCAGCTTTAAGAAATTCTATCATCAAGAGAAATGATTTTAACTGTAAGGATCACGACCAAATTGATATTGTTTTGTGTACCCTAGAAGAAGGTATTTCGAATTTCCTGAAGCCGGATCTATATCCAGCAAACGAGAATGGATTAAAATGGATTGAAATTTTTTTCTATTCGAATGCGTATTTTATAAATAGCAAATACTTTTTTTAAATTTAATTGGATTTAATTGGATTCAATTAAATCTAATTGGATGCAATTGAATTGAAAAACTGCATTTCCTATTCAAAATTTTGAATTGAACAGTATTCACACATATATTGTGTGCACAGAAAAAGCTAATATTATTTTTAGATTGAAAGGCATAGAGATATGCTCCATGCAATTCCTATAAATGAATAAAAATGCATAGAGGATTAAAAAAGCATGCCGCTCGACATTTAGGAGCGTATGACGCTCGTAGATATGAGATCCATCCGCTTTGGGTGCTCACGCTGTAAACTTCATTCTATTTTTTTCGTTTATTATATAATTTAAGATATCATAAGATAAAATGAAGCAGCGCGTATGCGTTGCTTCATTCTATCTTATGTAATGTTATGTTTCGACAAATGAAATCTCTACAATTATGCAATCTCGTTTGGATAGACAATCCCACCCACCCGCTCAAAATAAACAGATTTGTGGATTTTGGACAGATTGTGGACTTTAAATTTATGAAGACTCATGCCCATACACACGCCTGATATTCAGCCTTTTTCCTTTCAAGTTTTACATTTCCTGTTGGGGATAGTGCAGCGGAATATTACTACATATGTTCATTCGGATGAGACACAAAATGGAATCGAATTTCACGATAAGATTGTTCAATTAATCAATTTTATCACTCATTCTATGGATAGTAATAAAGAAAGAAATATGTTAATTTAAATTCTAGTATTATAAATGATTAAGGATTATCAACAATATTAGTTATTACAGTTATCTTACAGAAACGGCAATGGGTGTGGATGTACATGCTCAAGAAATTGTAAACGAATATACATCAACAGTACATCAGTTAGTTTTTATAAAATTCTTATAATGTTATTATTAATAAACAGTTAATGATTTATTACTTAGAGTCAATTAACAATAAAATTTAATAATTAATTACAATGCAATTTCTGTAAGTTGAATTCCAATTATATTTTCAGAATCTCCAAGTTAATATCGAATCGAATGATTCAACCATGGTATTGGATTGACTGGTTGTACTATTTATTACCTACAGGGAAACAGTTTAAATCAATGCTTGATATATTACATGGATTTACAAAAAAGGTATATTATAAGTACTTTAATAACACATGTATTTATATAAATTTAAAATAATGTTTAAGTTTCACTACTTTTTTTACATTGCTTCATTAAAAGAAATTTCATGTTTACAACTAATATGATAAATTATAGGTAATAAGTAAAAAAAAGATTGACCGACAGTCGCAAAATGCGAAACTCGAAAATGAAGATGATGAATTTAACATAGGTGTGATTACAAATTTTAATTATATTTCGTTCATTATATATATCTTTCTATTTTGTAAATATTTCTTAGTTAATAAAACTTATTGTATCAGGTAAGCGAAAGAGAAAAGCGTTTTTAGACTTATTATTAGACCAAAATGAGAAAGACTACTGCACTCCTTTGACTGATGATGAATTGAGAGCACAAGTCGATACGTTCATGTTTGAGGTGAGATGTTCGAAGTTAAAATTAAAATTTTCTAATTTTTAATATATAAAATTTAATATATAAAATTTTCTCTTATTAATTTCTCGGCAATATATCTGTGCAAATAGAAAGTACATGTAAAATAATATGAAATTATAATAGGGACACGATACAACTGCTGTTGCTATAACCTGGGCATTGTTTCTTTTGGGCAATAATCTCGAGCATCAGGAAAAAGTTCACAAAGAACTCGAGGAAATTTTCGGAGATTCAGAGGTACCAGCCAGTGTAAAAGAACTGTCGCAATTAAAGTATCTTGAAAGAGTTATAAAGGAGACACTTAGAATATTCCCAAGTGTACCTTTAATCGTGAGGGAACTAGTAGAAGATGTAAAAATAGGTAACTCTGTCTGTGGTATTAATTAAGAAAAAGATTTTAAAGAACTTACAATACAGGATGATTCGGAATAAACGTTTGTCCTTAAAGTATCATATTTCGCAAAGGAAAAATCGTCTTATGACTCCGGCACATTAGCGCGATGTACGCGTCGCACGCGACACGCGATATCCAATGAGACTATAACTTTAGAATGAAAACATCGATAAAGCTGTATACTCATTATATCGCGTGTCGCGCTAGTATGCCAGAGATAATAGAATTAGGAAGTCAGGAATATTATACTTTAAGGAAAAACGTTTATTCTCTGAATCACTCTATATAATTTATAAATAAGTTAAATGTTATAAGGCGAAAAAATTAAAAAATTTAAAAAATAATATTCATACATACAATTTACTAAAAATTAAACAAGTATAGTATATTTAAAGATTGATAATAACATTATAATCTCACAAAAATTTAAGTTTCAAATCATAAAAAAAACGTTTATGTGGACAAAGACAATGTTTTATATAAACAACTACATAGTTCATATATTAATTTATTTCTTCTATTTTAGATAATTATACACTTATGAAAGGTACTTCAGTTATATTGACCATCCTATTAGCACATCGAAATCCGGCGGTTTGGCCGGACCCATTGAAATTCGATCCGGATCGCTTCCTTCCAGAAAACTCGCAGAATAGAAATCCGTATGCTTATATTCCGTTCAGCGCCGGACCAAGAAACTGTATAGGGCAAAGATTCGCTCTACTCGAAGAGAAAACCGTATTGACTGCAATTCTCAGAAAGTGGAGAGTGAAAAGTGTGAAAACAATCGACACGATTGAGTACGGCGGTTCTCTCATTACGCGTCCAGTTGAAGAAGTATTCATACATTTTACGCCAAAAAAATAAACAGTTTCAGCAAATAAAATCAGTATCGTTCTTCCATTATAACAAGGTCTTTCTATCTTTTGATTATTAGTTGAGTTTTTATTTCTTGATTATTAATGATTTAACTTTAAAGTTTTCAATTTTATCATTGTTTTAAAGAAGTATTTTGCGGTTTTAAGATATTTTTTTGACACTGACTGGTTTATAAGTCAAGTATTAGTTTTTGACAAAATATTTTTGTGATCAATTTGCTTGCGATATAGTTGATTATAATCATGTTGAGCTTTTTTCCTTTCATATAATTTCTTTAAAGTTGCTTATCCATAATTTAATTCTGATTAGATTTTATCGTAATTTTTAAACATTCTCATCAGTGTTTTATTTTCGACATTGAATATTCTTAATTAAGGTAGAGAGAGCTCGTTATAACAAATTAATCATTACTTACATTTTATATTTAATAATAATAAAAAACATATAAAAAGAAAAGTATAAAAAACCACAGCACAAGTTATAGTTTGTGATATTTAATTATTATTAATTAAAACATTAAACGTTTCGGCCACAATCTGGCTATCTTCAGTAATTCAATAATATTCTTAAAACGCAAAATTACATCTAGTTGACATTAAATTCAACAGTCGGGAGTAGTAATTAAATAAACATGTTCTTTTCTATGTGAAGATGCTTCATACAATAATGTTATAATGCCAGTTGTCATATCAAGAAAAGTGTAGAACAAGAATTTCCAGATTCTGTTTTACAGCAAAAAAACTAAACGATGAATCTCAAGTACTTCTTTTGCACAATTAGAATATTGTCGTGACATTAACAACACATAAGATATCTACTCAGATAGCAAAGTTTGTCATTTTAACATTAAATTCAAGTCATGTTTGTAATACAAATGACGTCAAATAATCAAAAAGTAATCATAAGTTTTATTTGATGACATTCCGTAACGTCAATGTGATTGACATCATATTGATATCGTAAGTCGCCAGTTGGATAGTATAATAGTCAGTGAAAGATTATGGTGCAAGTAGACATGGTATGCTAGTACATGGTATGCTCGTAACTAAGACAAGTTTGCGCATAACAACGCACTGACCTCATTTTCCATCATTTTACAACCTTATATATTCGCATGGTTGTTATATGATTTGAAATGATTAAAAAATATATTAAATATTAAATGAAAAGTAATAAATAATAGTAAAAAAAGTAATGAATAAGTAATTATTTACTAAAATTCACCGAAAAATGGCAAAAAAGATCAAGCTCTGATTGGCTACAGCCAAACATGCGTAAGAGTACACCATGTCTACTTGCATGTAAAGAACAAAGATATAATATCCATGATAAAAGGTATATCTATGCGTAGGATGTAATCACATGAGAATCGAGCGACAAATCAGAATTATAATCAAGTTACGCCATTGTTTTGTGTAAATTCGAATGTATTATTTATCAGCATACTTATAGCGCTTCTTGCAATACACTTTAACAATTACAAAAGATATTAAAAATACAAAATAAAAATGCTAAAAAACAATATTATAAATATTATAATGTAAAATATTATAATATAAAAAAGAATACTAAAAAAATCTATAATATATTTCAGAAATTTATTTAACCTTCAAGTAGTATAATTGGTCTGTGAGACCACGCGAAAGAAAAAATGCTATATTTGTATCTGTACGCTATATCGATTTGATTAATAAAATATAGATTTATAAAATTACTGTTTTTATTCCAGTTTTTTTTTAAATTAATGTCTCAGGAACTAATCTCAAAAATCTAAAAGTGTCATTATTTTACCTTAATGTTTAAGGGTTAAAATATCATATAAGAAATAAATTTCGAAAAAATATAATGAATAAAGTTGTAACGATGGGCCCCGAGAAACTACATGTTCTTGACCAAGCATTAGTCGCTTCAATATGCGCTTCCGTCCGCGACCGTATCGATAATGCGGAACGGATGTACGTTTCCGCGCCGCGTTAGCATCCGTTCTGCATTATCGCGCCATGACACCAGGGCGCACCAGCGCTCGGTCCATTTGAAATACCACGCGCTGCCGTTATTATCTTCATTATATTTTTATATTATTTACTTTATTTTATTGTATTGTGTTCAGAACTATCTGTTTGTATCGTGTTGAATGTAATAAAGAGTATTTTGTTTCACTTTACTACACAGTTCTGTGCGTTACTTATAAGCGCCTCTTCTTTCTGCAACGAACCTTTTTCGTTCTCGGCCCGATAAATTCGTCCGATGAGCTATTCCGCAACGGAAGTTAGGTTGCTTCAAAGTTTAATGAATATTTTTTATTACTTACAATTAGCTAGCTCTCCAGATTGTGAAAAGTGTATTATTTTTTCAAAAGTATTTTCCCTATAATTTATTTCAAGTCAAGAATCGAAAACCTTTATTCATACTTTTGAAATTTAATTAATTATTTTATTATATATACTAATATTATTAATTAATATTATTATTAATATTATTAATAATTATTTAGTTGTATTAGTAAATAAACCAAGAAACAATTCATTCATTATTTTCTTATACTATTTGCATTAGTAATATCACAAAATATAATCATGGGAAAAAATAATTTTTTTGCACACACATCTTGAAAATATTAAATTCTTCATTGCTAACGCTGACTCAAATATATACTTTATTAGAACCTTATTTTTGATAATAGAGATATCTCGATTTACACAGACTTCACGCTATTTATGTAAATTACTTTATCTTTTGGAAATGAAAAATATTTCATCGGTAGATTTTTTGTTTTCCGATAATAATTTTTATAACCTTTTACTGTACACTTCATTTTAATCTGTAATCACAAAATACAATCACTTTATAAACCGACGTGCTCGCAGGCGTGATTAATTGCGATCATGAGCCAAATTTGTAACCGTGCTCGCGAGTGACGGATAGATAACTTCGTTGCGTGCCTATGACTTTTTCTTACGTAAAGGAATTTTTTTTATATAAGATAAACGTAAGATCTCGACAGTCAGATAGAGTTTCACAATTATCAGAGTTTTCCACTAAACAAATTGAGCGCCATGGCTGTTTATTTTGTCGCTCACAACGTCGTTTCATCCTTGTTATTTATTAAATAATAAACAAAGACAAATAATGCTCGCAAGTGCTGTAAGCGTCAAAAGCGAACACAGCCCATATTGTCCGAACTGCTCCAGAATTAATCGAAATCACTCGAGGCTGACGTCCCAGCAAACGAGAATGGATTGAAATGAATTGAAATGGATTCAGATTTTCAGAAATATTGATTCACGAATGTTAAAATGAATGCTTTTCAATCCTGAATGCATTTTTATTTATTTATAGGAATTGCATGGAGCATATCTTTATGCCTTTCAATCTAAAAACAATATTAGCTTTTTCTGTGCACAACACACACATTGTGAATACTATTCAATTCAAAATTTTGAATAGAAAATGCAGTTTTTCAATCCAATTGCATCCAATTGAATCTAATTGAATCCAATTGAATCCAATTAAATCCAAAGAAAAGTATTCGCTATTTAAAATACGCATTCAGATTGAAATGGATTAAAAAGGATTCAGATTTCCAGAAATACGGATTCGGGAATGTTAAAATGAATCCTTTTCAATCTTGAATGCATTTTTATTCGTTTATAGGAATAGCATAGAGTATATTTCTATGCTTTTCAATTAAAAAATAATATTATAGTATTTTGTGTGGTGTGCATCGTGAATACTGCTTAATTAAAATTTTTGAATAAGAAATGCAGTTTTTTAATCCAATTGAATAAAAATAAGAAAAACAAGTTTTTCTTTTAATGGCCCATTTTCTTAAAATGAGCCATGAATACTATTCAAAATTGTGAATAAATAATCCATTGTTTCATTTGAAAGTACATCATGAATGCTATTTTATTCAGAATTATGAATAAGAAATTTTTCGTTTTAATTCAACTGAGTTAAAAAAAATTGTACCGTAAAAATATAAATCATGAATTCTACTTCATTTAATAATTAAAAGAAATATAAAAAGAACTACTCGGCGCGATGTCAGTCCAGGCTACGTTAATCGACTCTTATGACTATTAGCCAATGTCGAGCCAATGTTAGCAGTATGTTAAAAACCGATTGTTTAGAACGGCATGACATTAGTTCAGCTCTGTTAGCTCATTCTTATCGAAAGATAATTTCAGGTTACCGTCGGGTCAACGTTGGCAGTATGTAACGTCAGCAACTTGTTGTCAGATCAATCATGAAGCGACGTCGAGTTAAGCTATGTCAATCGACACTTATTTAATGACGATTCTCGAGCTTTAGTCTATTCTGCTCATATGCAAAAGATTTAGTGTTATTTAACAAATACCTTGTATAATATAAGATAAAACGTTTAGAGATGTAATGGTAGGAAACGGAAAGTTCTTGTAACTCCACAGGGAAACATAAATAAAGAATACCTATATATTCACTGACAAAAGATGGTTAAATGCAAATGTATGTACATTAATACCAAGAAGTAATAACCAACATAATTTACAGCACAGATTGTTCCAGTAATATTGCAGCATCATTATACAATATTCCATCAATGTTACAGTAACATTGCAAACGTTGTAGCAATATTGTTTTAAACTTCATGTTGTATGAAGTTAATCTTCAAACAATTAAGAAGGGAAAGCAAAATCGCAAATGTTTATTTCGAAAAACAACATTCCTCTATTGCATGACATCTTGATTAGATTGTTGTTCATGGACGCTTTTAAGGATGTCTTGGCTATACAGTCCCAGACAAAAGTTACTCCAATTTGAAATTGATGAAATTCTATAGAATAAAGTCGTCTATTATAATGTAGGCTCAATATAAGATATGAAAATATGGGCAGGGTTTCTGCTAAACTAATAAGCGCATGTGTTTGATTCTATTATGAACTTTTTACTCTTACAATTAGTATGAAACCTGTTTAGTAGAAAATTCATTATTAGATCATGCGTGTAGTCGTTGCAAAAAAAGATTTGTAAAATTGGATGTTGTCAAATTTTATTTTACTATTTGCGTTATATCATAATTTATACGTATTTGCAAACAGCCGATATATGAGCGTGAAACTGCCACGCACTGACATTCCTTTATTTTATTGTCGTGCAATTTATCCATAATTACACGCTTTTAAATGTTCCGAATTGTGATTGTATTTGCGAATACATAACTTATCGATTTCTATTTGAATTTGAACAAATGTTGTCAGTGAGTATAATCTATCTGCAATTTATGATTGTGTTTCTATCCATATCTATACAATATAATTTGCGTTATATCGTAATTTAGCACTTTAGCATACGTATGTGACTGCAGTGCTTTTTTCGAGTGACTTACGACTCATTGCTCCTAAAAATTTCATTAGAAACAATCAGAAACAGTCAGAAACAGATGCAACGTCTAATAAATTTTAATAGATATCCATTGTTTGAAGAGAATATTTAATTCTTACGTTTCTGTCAGCAACTATTATATCTGCAAATGCAGATAGAAAATGTAATTGTATTTAATGGAGATCTGCCAGCGTATTTACAAGTTTTTGCAGTCGAAAAACTTGATGTTTTTATCTGTATATAGAATGCAATCTGTATGCATCGAATGCTGATTTTGCTGATATCTATTACGGAACTGTACCTATCTGCATCTGTGTGCAATGTAAACCATATTCATCTGCAATGTTGACCTATAATACATAGATGCAGATGATTCCGTAATTATGGATAGATACCGTCAGCGTCTGAGGTATACATAATCCAGACAGAAACAAATAAGAATCGTAATCGTAGTCGCAGACAAATTCCTATAGGTTAACATTGCACACAAATGCAAATAGAAACGGTATCTGTAATTGCAGATAGATATCATCAGCATCCGATGCATACAGATTGCATCCAATACACAGATAGAAACAGGTAAGTTTTTCTTACGCAAAAGCTTATAGATGCTAATACGTTGATATATCTCCATTAGATATAATTACAACCTATAGGAATTCGCTGTGCGTAGTACATGACGCTGTCAAGAGAGGGACATGTTACTCATAAAAAGAAAACGCCACAAAGTCCTATAAAATGTCCTATTTTAAATAAGATTAGACTATTCATTAGACTATTTATATTCTATTAGCTTTTTAAATTGTTTTTATATGGATCTATTAAGAATTTTCATTAGAGTAAAGTTTACTTAATTTTTAACAGATCCATATTAAAATAATCCGTTTTTAATAGGCTGAATATATGTATTTTTGAAATCGTAATTATATAATTATATGCACGCACGAACACAAAATTATATAATTATTATGTAACATTTAAATTTTTTCTTATGTGAATTTATATATTCCATACATAGTTACGCTTCCCTAGAAACGCACGCCGAAATGATTTTTCGGTCTTGAAACGTTAACTCTACTACTTGTATATGTGACACAAACTACACACACAAACATAGAAATCAAAGCTTTAAACAGCTTAGCTGGGTCTTAATGCTTGTATGATTCTTATGTAAATTTATATACTACGTATGTAGTCTCTAGAAACCGCGCGTTACGTATTGCGTACATACATAGTACAATACATAATACGAGTACTTAATACAAGCATTAAGATTCAGCTACACCGTTTAAGGCTTTGATTTCTATAATTTGTTTTATTATACGGTTCTATAATATATTATATTGTTTAAATTTTTTGTTCCTACTTTTATATTGTATAATATAATAAAAGCGTATATAAAAAGTTTGTCATCTTTATTTTTTCCTTAATTTTTTATTATGAGATACCATCTCATATAAAGAAATCCTTGTATCTCATATTAGGAATATCCCTTTTTTTGAATGATAAAAATCGGGACTTTTGAATATATATTTATGTATATATATATATATATATATATATATATATATATATATATATAAATATATATTATATATATATATATATATAATATACATAAATATATATTATATACAGGATATTTTAGACCTAACGCATCATCTGCTAATAACAGATTCCTGAAATCATTTTGAGACAAAAATTTAATACCTATATACTGATGTGTATATGTAGGTGTGTGTGTTATATACAGTGTGTCTGATTTGATATTTGACAGAAAAATATTTGTAAATCGTGGATTTTTTTTAAAGAAAAATGTTTTAGATAAAAGTTGTAAAGTTTCAAGAGGGAAAAAAAATGGTATACATTTGGAATTACATGAAAAAAAACAGTGGTTGGTCTACACAGAAATCTGACGTCAACCAGATAAATATAAATAATAAAATATGGAACAACTATTTATATATAATAGTTACTTGAACCATAGGTACAACGGTTACGTCAGGTAATATTACAGCAATGACGGTTATATTACAACAATGCATTTCACATATACATATTTTTAATTATAAGCGTGGTGAGTCGCTTTTGCTTTTTGAAATTGCAATTTAATTTATAGCATAATGTATAATAAGAAATTCTTATTAATAATTTAATTCTTATTATTATATATCATGTTTTATAATGTCACAATTGATGCAATATATGGATATATAACTTATCCATAGTAAATGATAAATCCCTCAACCAAGTTTTGATTGTTACAATCAGATTTATTGCGAAAAATATTATCTCGGTCAAAAGTTCAAATATTATCTCTCCGAGATAATATTTTTCTCAATAAAAATTTAGTTATTTATAAATTTTGCTTCACCGAAGCAAAAAAAAAATAATGCTTACTGTAGACATTTATTGAAAATGTATATTAAGAAGATTCTAAAGTGAAGCTTCAACAAAGTCACCAGAGGTGTCTATTTTTCCAGCGCATCGACATGCAATACTATTTCACGCAGTGACACGTTCGTGTTAATTTTCGTATATCAAATTTGTCGTAATAAAGCGTCTAAGTCTAATTTTAAGAACTCGACGTCATTTGTTTGTGCAAATGTGTTTGTGGATTACTTTCGTAAGTATAGGTTGCAAAACTTTTGCATCAAGCAAATGTTATCACGACTTGATAGCTTGAGACACTATGTTATACAGGGTGGGCCATCTATTGGTACGTTTTTAAAAATGCGATCAAATGAGCATACATTGATATTTTTTATTAATTTTTTTTTTGTTGTGAAGCTAAAAGTATCCGCGTCAAGAATGAAAAACGATTTCGTTCATGTGGCTCCCTCTACTGGCCTTACAGTATGCCATTCGGTCACCCCAATTATTAATGACATTTTGGACTACCTCGGCGCCAATTTCACTCAAAACAGTCGTAATATAATGTCATCCACTAACATCCTTTTCTCACGAACTTTCCTCACCAATTTGCGTATAGCTCCTTCGGTGGGTGCTCTATCACGACCCATATTTCTTTTCAAAATTCGTACAGTTTCGGCGACACAGCACTGACTTTGAAAATAAGTTTTTAAAATTTCAAAACGCTCTTCAAGAGAAAACATGTTGTTTCGTGCCGCGGACGGTATGACTAATAAACTGTCAAAATTTCGGGTCTGGAGCTCGTTCGGTGTTGCCATACGACGAAATTCAAAAACGTACCAATAGATGGCCCACCCTGTACTAAGAAATGGCAAAAAATATATCAATTTCGAAATTTTTGGTTATTCTCAGCATAAATTCCACACGTATTAATGCGTATATTTTAATCTTGGAAAAGGATTTATGAATCTGCGAAAGAGAAAAAAGTATTTATCTATTTTGTCAGGTAAAAAAAATTGATTTTTTTACGTTTAAAACAATGTAGTACAAAAGAAGGGCAAAGAGCCAGTAATGTACAAAAGAACTTTAATTTAAATTAGCATTAAAAATTCATATAAACAATTATAATTAATAACAAACGTTTCGACTTCAATCAAGTCATTTTCAATGTAGTTTTAATATATCAACATCTTTTACGTTTTAATTCTTATAGTCTGTAGAATATTTTTGTAAAGTTTTATACAAAAATTCAAAATATTAACAAAATTACAACAGTTAATTTGTACACCTGTCAGCGTACTACCTGAGCGCAGTCATAAGGAAGGACTCTCTTATTATTTGCAGTGTCCTTTTTTCCCCACTCGTCGCTACATTCTTTTGTTATATCCACTTTATGATCCCGGAATTATCAGAATTACGAAATAAACATTACAAAATTTTTTCGTTAGCTGCATAAAATTATCAATTTTGAACGCAATTGATACGACTTTTTAGGAACTGGCGATCACGATTAAAATAAAATCACTGAACCGATTAGCCTCAAATTTGAAGACTTATAAAATATACATTCCTTTGTCATTGGAATTAGAATTACTTTGATAATTTAATTTTTTATATTTTTTGGGAAATATTTTAAGAAAATGTAAAAATTAAACTTTTTTTTTATATAAGTGTCATTTATTTATTTATTGGGTGAAATTAATTATTCTATAATAGTTCAAATGATAATCCCAAGTGTCTTAAAATGAAGTCTTATTTTTTTATTTCAGTTTACTGGGAGACCCAGAATCATGGTCGCTGATGAACTCTTTATATGATGTAAAAGGAAAATGGATTTATAACACGTCAAATATTATTCATATTTTTTATTAAAAAAATAAAATTTTCAAAACCGAAAGACAAAGGGCTACGAACCTAAGATTAATTGTTATAAATTAAGATTTAAAACCGTTAATAAATAAACATGTTAAAATTTAAAAAAATAGTCATTTAGTTAAAATATAAAATCATTTAGTTAAAATATAAAATTTTAATATGCCGGTAATAAACAAAACCAAACGTTCCTTGTTGGATCATTATCAATAAACCAGTAAAAATAACCAATGTAAAAGTAATCAATGTAGAAATATTACATAGATAAGATATATAAAAATTATAATTCGCTTTCGATCGCAATATTAATTATCAATCTCGCTCAATATGAAATAAATGTTATAAGAATGTTATAATCGATACTCTGTATTCCTCTGGTATGTGTATATAGATTATAGACAAACATGATTGTTTCTGTTAAAAAGTACAAATATAATGTAAAAATGTAATCGGGATAAATAATCAAGTCTAATAAGAGAAAAACAAACTAAGAAACAAGGAATAAAAATAAAAATAAAAAAAGTAATCTAATATTATAAGAAATGTACATTAAAATCATTAATAAGAATTGAAATTGTGATGTATGGTCATAAATTATATATATTTAATTTAGTAGCAGCTAAATCAAATGAGAATAAATACTTTCTAATTGTGTGAGTATAATATAAACGTCGTCTTTTTAGATAATGCGATGAAGTTGAAAATATAGTTATTTCTTTAAGATGATCAGAGAGACAATAAATCCACATTAAGACAAGAAAGTGGTAAACTAGAAAGGAAGGGGAACATAAGAGGGAGAAAATCAAGTAGAGGGAAGAGAAAGAGAGGGGAGAGGGAAAATAAAAAGAGAAAGAATGCAAATAAGAAGGAGAAAGAGATTGAACAATCTGTGAGTAAGTTTCAAGTAACGATTCATCATTCTTTTTATTAATACTTTGTTTCTGTCTTTTGATGTGAATCATTTTAGACACTAATCTCTTGTTGTACGAAGATTCGCAAAAAATTTTCACTTCGTTCCATCTAAAATTGTGATCAAAATTGATATGATGATCAGTTATAACAGTAGGAGAATTAGTATTCTTCTTAATTTCAGAGATATGTTCGTGTAATCTCGTATTAATTTTCTTTTAGTTTGACCAACATAACTCGCCTCATAATCGTCACAGAAAATCTTATAAACTACGTTCTAATTAGATAGAAAATCTAACTTATCTTTTCCTCTTTTAATAAGACTTTTTAATGTGTTAGGGATAGAAAAGGCTAGTTTACAATGGAACATAGATATTTCTATACTGGAAATAGAAAGGAACATAGATATTTCCATACTGGAAGTAGAAAGGAAATTTTCCGAAATAGGAAACTTTCCGATTTGACATAAGGAATCGTAAAATATTTGTCTTTAAATTGTAAATTACGTGTAATATGTTTATTATGTATATGGAACTTTAATCTTTGTTTAATTGTAGAGAAGACAAATGAGAGAGAATAACAATTATTTAAGAAAATATGAATAGCATCTATCAAATTTTTTTGTGGGAACTGTGGATGTGATAAGAGGATAATTTTGTCTATGAGGCTTATTTAAAAAAAAAAATTCTTAATTGCAAGATTCTTAAAGATCTCTTAAAGACAGCGTAATAGAATACCTACTTAAAATTTTGCGTATCTATAATCTTTAGACGGATTAAAAAAATTTTCTTTATACTGTGTTTTTCCATACTTTCTTACTTAAATTGGTTTGTATATTTTCTTACTATCAATAATAGAAATATTTTCCTTATTTGACATATCACGATAATTGCCAGTTGCAATTAACTTATTAAATAAATGCCATATATATATGCCATATGTGCGGTTATGTGATGTTAATATATGTATTTTTAATTTCTATATTTATGTATAATAATAAAATGACGAATTTATCAAAAGAAACTGATGTTAACGTACCTTCAAAAGCGAGAAAAAGCGAAAGCGAAAGCACGATAGTAACAACTTCTCTCAAAAACAAACGCAACGAGCATTTTTATAATCAGAACACCATATATAATATTATCATCATACATTGACAAATTAATTACTATCCGTAATATATGAATTGTGAATGCGAATAATGCAAGAAAAACAAAATATTTATTAACGCATAATCTTTATATAGAAAGCACTCGTGGAAGCTTCAAGAATATTTACGTAATATTGACGGAACCGGTTTAGCAGAAATCTATTACGTAAAGTAACGTTATAATGTGTGTGCATTATATCCTACAATGTAACAAGATGGAAAATATTCCTTTGTATTATTTAATTGTAACTCAAAAAGAAGAGCCTTCATTCAGTTAATATCTTAAGCATTATCGCATTATCAATTCAAATAATTATTCTACCTCGTCAGTTATAAAAGTATGATTTACGGCACAATATTTTTCCAAATGTTGTAAATATTGAGAAACTCAGAGTTCGAGCTCAAGTGCAATACAGTTATACAATCATTGCATGAGTATCATGGAGAGAGTGTGGGTAGAGAAGGGATATCAAGATATCAAATTACATGCAGTTTCATTCAGTGATTGAACCTAGACTCAAGAGGAACAGAAATTTTTATAATTGTTCTTTGTTACAGAATTTATAGGAGCGTTATTCTGTTGCATATCTTATTGTATTACATTATTATTGTATTACATTATAAAATATGATTTAAATTTAAATCGAATGTCAACGGTATTGAAATTTCAGTGTTGCAGTAATATTTACTTAAGAAACGGTAAGTACTGAAAGTTCATATATTTTAAATATTATATATATTAGGTGTATGACTTTGCTCATTCGGTTTTCGTATAGATGGCTTTAGCGGTAAGTGGTAATCGAAATAAATAGATCATAGACGTCACACAATAAACTTGGGCATCTGTCAACATAATCCCATAGAAACATAGTCGATTTGTGTCTGCATCATAAAGTTATTCTCGATTGAAAATGTCAGTTTACGAGCCAAATTCTTGTCATTTGCGGGAGGTTTTAATTTTCTGCTTCAATATGAAGAAATCTGCGGCTGAGGCTCATCGAATGCTTTCAAATATTTATGGTGAAGCCGCTATTAGGGAA